CCATCATTGTTGTTTGGCGGGCCCGGGCTGGGGATTCGAACCCGCCACCTTAGGTGTATGTGGCTGGCGCCTTAGCCGCTTGAGCCACAGGCGTCGAGCCGTTTGTTCCTTTTTATTACTGAATAGTAGCCCACGGTACAAACGGGTTGTTTCCAGTTTGGGACTTTGAGAGATAAAACAGCTATGTAATTCTCAGGTATGGATAGCTATATTAACATGAGTTTTTTAGGGAGAGATACCTAATGAATGGTAAAAGAATGTTAAGAAACTGCCAAACTGGGCGGCACCCATAGCTGAGTGGGTAGGGCACCAGCCACATAGACCGAGGCTGGTGGGTTCCAACCTGGCCCGGGCCAGCTAAAAACAACACTGACAACTGCAATTAAAAAAAAATATATAGGGCTGGGCGCCTGGGGCTCATGTGGCTAAGGCACCAGCTACATACACCTAAGCTGGTGGGTTCAAATCCAACCCGGGCCTGCCAAACAATGACAGCTGCAACCAAAAAATAGCCCGGTGCTGCGGCAGGCACCTGTAGTCCCAGGTACCTGGGGGCGGCGGCAGGAGAATCGCTTGAGCCCAGGAGTTAGAGGTTACTGTGAGCTATGATGCCATAGCACTTTATCTGGGGTGACAGCCTGAGGGTCTGTCTCAAAAAAAAAAAAATAGCTGGGCGTTGTGGTGGGCACCTGTAGTCCCAGGTACTTGAGAAGCTGAGACAAAGAGAATCACTTAAGCCCAAGAGCTTGAGGTTGCTGTGAGCTGTGATGCCACAGCACTCTACCCAGGGCAACAGAGTAAGACTCTGTCTCAAAAAAAAAGAAAGAAAGAAAAGAAAAATAGATACTGGGGAGGCTGAGGCAGAAAGATCTCTTGAACCCTAGAGTTTCATGTTGCTGTGAGTTAGGCTGATATCACAGTATTCAGCCTAACTTGAACTGTAACATGAGCTCTTTCTAGATCTTCATCCTGAAGATGGGATGAAGTATGAAGCCTTCATACTTCCTAATTTCAAAACTTACTACAAAGCTACACTAATCAAGAGTGTGTAGTTATGGCATGATAAACAAATAGATCAGTAGAATAGAACTGAGAGTGCAGGAGGCTGGGAGTGGTGGCTCAGCACTCTGGGAGGCTGAGGCAGGTCGATTGCCTGAGCTCACAAGTTTGAGACTAGCCTTGGCCAGACCAAGACCCTGCCTCTAGAAATAGCTGGGCGTTGTGGCGAGCATCTGTAGTCCTAGCTACCCAGGAGGTTAAGGCAAGAGAATTGCTTGAACCCAAGAGTTAGAGGTTGCTGTGAGTTATAAGGCCACGGCACTCTACTGAGGGCAATGG